ACGCACCCTATCATTACGTCATATTATAAGTGACCTAGCATCTAAATAATGACGTCATATTATGATGATGACGTAGCAATTTCGTAATATTGAGATTTTGGCTAATATTTATTGTTTAGTTTCCTCATATTGGAGTACGTAAAGGTGCCGTCACAGCTTTGTCTCAGTTTTGCTGTTCTCTTAACAAGGTGCTCCAGGATACTAGTCAACAAGACGGAATTGCGTGTGAGTTCACAATGATGGGATATTGAGGGAGAAGGGTGAGACTGGGATGAACATGGCTTGAACGGGGCTCTTTCTAACGGTTTCTAGACTTTGTATATTTAATAGAATTTCCTTTGAATATCTTCCACGCACTGATTGAAGGATCGCTTGAAAAGACCTTTTCTCGGCCTTAAAACAAAAGCAGGCAACATGTTTGTTGCATCCTAATGAACAGAAGTGCCAAGTAATATCAAAATTATGAGTTTTTCAACCWTCAAAAATTATTTTCCTGACATTGCAAAAGAATAAACAAGCTCAAAAATGACAACTTTTTGGGTTGTTGCCCGATTTTGCCTCGCTTTGTTGCAAACCAACAGGCAGGCCCCTTGCTCAACTTGTTTCCTCACCGCGAAAAGGGTTATTGCTGAAGGAAACGATTTGGTGCCGTCAAAACATATCGAGTCATTCACCACTTGGATTGTGTTTCTATCATTCAATTAACTGCTAAATGAATTGATTAAAGCTCACCGGGTCATAAAATGACCTCTATTCAGTGTATAAATGTCGTGAAAGATACTTGAAAAGTCACCACAGAAAACCCAATAATTTTAGGAATAGTTCAAACTAATTGCGCGTAGCAATATTTATTTGTATTTATTTAACTCAAACGTAAATAAAGTATTGTTATTGTTAAAAAATAACAAAACATAGTCTAGGGAACAACGTCTAATGTTGGCAATGTGTTATCTGTTATTAGTACAAGGTCTRGTTACAACCACCGTTACTGTATACATTACYGTCATYGCCAAGGATAAGGACAGGACGGTCGTCATGGCGACGCTACAAGCTCTAAACGAAATGTTGAAAAATCTGAAAATGGCAGCGGTTTGCGGTGAGGGTCACGTGGATGGCATTGTTAGTGCTGTTCGGGCTATTTTTCTTCAACAGGTAAAAACACCATATTAAAGTACTAGAATGACTATTACAGTCGTTGTTAACGATGTCATTCAAACGAAGACAGGAACTTCGATGGCTGGTTCAATATTAATCAGTATTTTGATATAATTTTTGAATGAATTGATTTGTCGGATAATTGATTGATCGATTGAATGATTGATTTTCTGATTGATTCGATTGATTGATTAATTGATTCGATTGATTGATTGATTGATTGATTGATTGATTGATTGATTCTTTGAATGATTGATTGATTGATTGCATGGATGTTTGACTGGTGGTTTATTGATTGTTTATTTCAACCAGTTGGTTAAATGATTGCCGAGTTATGAATTGATTTATCGTTAATCGAAAGCCATTTTCTGCTCATCATGCCTTATCTCACTGCTGTATCCTCATTTTTTTGAATAAATTGATTTATCTATGATTAACAACCCGTATTAATTGTCCACGTCTGATCTCATTGCTGTAATTCATCATTTCCAACAAGACTGGCTGCCAGGAAAATGAAGAAGAAGCGTTCGATGTAGATGATGACCAACAAGCTGAGTTTGACGCCATGTTGGTCGAGTACGCAGGTGATTGTCTTCCATCCTTAGCGTCCGCCATTGGAGGACAGTCGTTTGCTCCATTCTTTGCTGGTTTAATGCCTCTGCTGCTTAAGAAAGCGGTAAGGAAAACCTCCGTTGCTCGCGTTGCTATAAACGTTTCCACCCAATTCAATCCACCCGGGAGTAAGCTTCATTGTTCGTTGTATTTTCATTTCACAGTTGAATTCTTAGAAACAAAACGTCTTTTGCCCACAGGATTTGAATTGGGTRGTAACGTAAATAGCATAGCAACACGTTAGCCGATTTGGTCTATTTTTAGATTTATTTTTCGGCCAATAAACGTTCATGGTATTACGCGCGCGCGGGAAGAATGAGGGACGATTGATGTCTATTAGTGTTCCTGAAGTTAAGCGTTGMGTCTTCCACTATAGATACGATTGAAGAAAAATAGACACGTCTTGAAAAAGAGTGACATTTCTGTAAAAGAGCATGTCGACAGCCCTTACGAAGGACGTTGTGTTTGACATCCTCCTAGTGCCTCGCAATCGTCCTTTAACAATGTCTGTATTTCTAGCTTTTGATTGTTTTGTATTTCTTTAGCGCAAGTCTTCGCCGACGTCCGACAAATCGTTTGCGATTGGTACGATATCAGAGGTTTGTCTCAATATTTTGTCATGAATTTMATTAAAAGTTKCTAATTAMAATATRTGGATCTACCGTCAGATAATTYTMGCCATCGGRCARGCKACKGTCCCCTTTGTTCAACACTTGTATCCAGTCCTGTTTGGAGCTCTCAAAGACTCGGACGAGGAAGTCCGAAGTAATGCTACCTATGGACTGGGTCTACTTGCCATGAATGGTGGTGATGTGATGGTGCCGTATCCTCTTTAATACTTAATGTTATTATAGTTGATTTCGCTATGACTATCTTCAAATATGGGCACTCTTCGCGGCACCTTGCCAAACTGAAAACAAGGTACARAACGCGACTGAGAGGTTCCAGTTCCACAGGGAACCCTAACAAAAAAGGTTATCTGCCGCAGTGGTTCGGTTTAGTGTATATTTAGCTATTGTGACTCTTATTTTTGCTCACTAAATAAATGTTTTCATCTCATCTTTAGATCTAAATCCAACGTTATCATCGGCTTGGCAATTATATGTTTAGCTAATTAACAAAAACTTTCCTATTTTCTCTTCTGCCCRCATTTTTCTAGTTTTTTGTCTTAACTTTAAAATCAGTAATTACCCAGCAGTCTTAGAGGCCTTRTTTTCCATGCTGTCRGYACAGCCACCAGGCCGCACGGTCGATAACATCTGTGGTGCTGTGWGCCGCATGATAATGACCAACCGGTCAGCAGTGCCTCTAGAAGAGGTAGGAATCTTACCCTCTACATGTAGTGGTCCGGTAGTACCTTTATAGTTACACTTAAATATGCATTATCATCATCATCGACATGACTGTCATCATTGCCATCACAATCGTGCTCCTTATTTCACGTCATGTTACARTCAGACCTCTATAAAGCGGTCACCTTCTGGCGACACCATATGACTGATAAATAGAGGCTAACCATATAATAAAGGTCAAGTTATACAGTAAATAAAGCGACTAGGGAAATTAATAAGCGACCGCTTAATGAAGGGTGTCCGGTATATAGAGGGCGGTCACTTTATAGAGGTTCGACTTTATCTTTCTAGGTATTTCCAATCTTAGTACAATGCCTCCCACTTAAGGAGGACTTTGAAGAAAACCCACCGGTCTATTCGTGCATCATAGAATTGTTCAGCGACCAGCATCCTCAGGTATGTACAACTATACCTGTATAATGCATCAGTCAATTGAAACCCCGGCCCCCCGACCTCCGGGAAAGGCCGGGGAAATTAACATTTGGCAATTGTTAAAGTAACGTGTTTTCCCCGGACCTCGGGGGTGAAACAGCTGTTAAATGCCCGGCCCTGGGAGCCCCGCCCTATTAGGACATTCATGACCTCATGGAGACAGAAATAACCAATCAACAATTTATTCTCGAAAAAGACAAACTTTACTCAGTAACTGTTAATTTATGTTTTCGAACARGATGGGCAAAACCATTTTCCATTGGGTGGATCTGGGTTAGAACCTTCAAAAAAAAAACTTCGAAAAAGTGTACGTCTCACCGTACATGTACCTTATGTTCGTGCAAGTTGGCAGCCATTTTGGATGCATGATACTCTTGTTTCCAGGCTCACTCATTTTTCACGATCCTCGGCCCAGTCTCCGGCCAGTGTTAATGTCCCCGGTAAAATCCCGGCTATTTTTAAAATCTGTTAATTCCCCTGCCCCCCCGTGGATTGATGCTGTTAAAACAGCGTTAAATCCCCGGCTAAAATGTGTTAATTCCCCGGCCCTCCCCGGGGGTCGGGGGGCCGGGGTTTCAATTGACTGATGCATAACACAGAACAGTTTCTTTATCAGTTTTGCTTTGTTTCAGGTTATGCAAAATCTTGGTAATATCCTTGGTGCTTTTGCCAAGGTTCTTCCATCGACAGATTTGCAAGAAGGTAATAGCTTTTGAACTATACTTAAAAATATCATATGAAACAACTTTTTAAGTTCGTCTGTACTCTGATAGATACAGAGAAGACGTCAAAAAGCGCGGATGAGAACAACAGATACCTTACTCGTTTTTTTTTTTTTTTTTTTTTTTTTTTTTTKTTCTCATCACATTTTGATGTGTATGGAAAAATTGAATGTATTTGTTTTATCTTATATTTTCCTCCATTTTTGTCGGAGTGTCCGCGATTTCATTGAGACGGTTGAACGAACAACATAGCGCGCAAAGTGGTTTTCTGACCAATCAGAGCGTACGTAAAAATAAACGGTGCGTAAAGTGTGTGTTTGTATTTAAATAACACACGGTTCTTKACCAATCTTAGAGCGCRTAATATRCCAAATATTGTGTATATTGTGATGRTTATAATGATRATAATAATTAACGATGAAAATAAACACAGTGATTATATATAAGATGACAGACACATTATTCTTAAATTCAGTACATAATCGTTAATTAAGGGGCAGTATTCATCCATTTTTCTCTCTTTCCCCTTCAGAAGTCCGCGTTGGACTGGTGAATATGGTGAAGAGTGTTCGTCAGCAGTATCCCCAAGACTTTCAAACTTTATTACAATCACTGCCTCAAGAGCATGCGCAAATTTTGTTAACCGCTACCCAGGCACCCAGCTAACGACACGAGTATAATCTAAAATTGAAGATACGCCACGTCGAACAAAATAAGGCCTTCCGTGAAGTAACAAAATGAGAAACCCTCACCCCTAACTAAAATATTCCTAATAGGGGTACAGTGATGACAAAATATAAATATTTGTCGAAGCTTCCCTGGTTTTGTTGTCTAACAAGTTTCAGCTTTATACAAAATACAAAAGACACTCGAGTATTTGCTTGTCAAATTCTAGGAGAACAGCGTGCATATTTTACTGACTGCATAGCCTAACCACCTTACCGCACATTAAATAGTCACAGTCCTTATATGGTCAATGAAACAGCCAATCATAGATAGATATTTTTACTGAATCAGGATTTAGTCTGTTTCAAGAACGATATAATAAAATACGTGAAAATAAACTTTTTTTCGTTTGTTTGTTTTCCCGGAAACGGAAAATTTGCTTTTTGAGCAAAACTTGGCTCGTTTTTCTTCGTTTAGGAAAAAAGCCGAAGTGATAGACTAACGAGGTCAACAGGCGGTGTGCCTACTGAAAAATCCGCTGAAACTACTGCTTTTTTAAGTAATTTTATGCGAGAAGTGGCGCATTTTCGGTGCAATTCTTTCCCTTCCAGTTTTTGTTTGTGAATTATTCATTCATTCATAGCTTTATTTAAAGAATGGTTACAGCACATGCAGTTGCCGTACGAATGGCGACGGTGATCAAAAGGAAATATTTGAATAGATATAAAATTGATAATACAGAAATGGGGCTGTGGAAAATGGAGTTTCATTCACGATGTTGCTGCTTTAGTTGTTTTTCAGAGTAATTCCCATTCAGATTTGAGTTAATTATATTAATATGAATAGAGCATATTTCCATCATTATATTTTGGGCTCTACACCAAATCCACCTAATCCCCTTCCCCGCTTTTCTTCCCGGGAACACCCTTGTATTGTTCGATATACTAGTAAGTGTACCTTGACCATGTAAGAAAACCACTCTGTAGCTGTCCGACCAGATAGTCCACTATCGATATTCTGGATAATTCTTTTGTTTCCTCTGAGCCTCGTCTTCAATTCTTTTGTACATGACCATTCAACCAGAATATTGAAAGTTGGGTATTCAGATTGTCTTCCTTAAAGAGACACTACATCGTTCTCTGATTGAAGGGTCGCATGTATGGATCCCAGGACGTTTTGGCTCTATTCCCAATGAACGTAAAATTGAAGAGCTAATGGACGATCTAGTATAATCAATTTCAATGTTGTGCTGTTTTAATTTTTGTTTCTTTTTTCCTAAGTTGTTGTTTTTTCTTGGCAAAGGATCATCATCACGCGTGCTTGCAGGGTAGTTTTTGAGCAAATGAG